ATTAAATATAGTATATAATAAAGAATAAGAAATATAATATCATATTGAGTAGTCTTAAAATAATTAATAGTTTAGTTTTATATAATACAAATATAGATAGAAATCTTTAAATTTTGAACATTAGTTCTCTTTTATAATAAAGTTTCTACTATAGTATTATAAAATATATATATATATATATATATATAATGAATTATTTAGCTAATATTTTGTTTATATAATATTATTAAAAATAAATATTTTTCAATTTTAAAATTAAAATTATATTCTGAACAAGTTTATTTAAAAGATAAAAGTAAATTACCTTAATAAAAAAATAAATTTAATATATATTAAATATAAATAAAATTTTACATTATATTTGTTAGTACAAATTTACTATTAAAATTTTGTGACAAATCGTGTAACCGTTAAGGAAATTAAAAAGTATTTTTATTTTATATAAGTTTTAGTATATTTATTGTTAACTTTTATATAATCAAAAGATTATGTGAAGAAAACCAGTGACTTAGAAAAGAAATTGATGAATTAAATGAAGAGATTATGACAATGAATGATCAATACTTAAATGAAGTAGCTGAAAATGAAAAAATATTAGATTACGAATTGAAAGCTGGCTGAAGAGGTTACAAAAATAGATTTAGACAAAAGAGATTTCAAAATAAATTTAATAGATCAAATACCAAGGCATTTTAATATTTATGAAAAACATAAATAATAATTAATTATGTCATTCTGCGTTATCCACCTTTTTTTTAACATTGTTGTTAATCCAAAAGTTGTAAATACTTGTTAATATATTGTTACTAAGAACGATTGTAGATATAGTCAATGTAAGCAATGGTATACTAGTATATATGATTACGCTTCTTTGATAAATAATCTACAATATAAAAGATTGATATAAATATAAATATATACATTTAAACAATATTTTAAAGATTAAAAAACACACCTGTATAACAAGTTGTGGAATATCTTTGACAAACAAATGGCATGCAGTACCATAAAGAATCCATTTTTTAAAATTTTCAGACACCAAAGCAGAAAAGAAATCAAGTCCGAAAAAATTTGAAGACAAAACATTTAAAGCCTCAACATTAGTACTAAATAACAATGTACAAAATGCAACAATTTTTACATTTTCAAAAAACCATTCACGAAAATCTATGTTACTTTGTATCTCCTTTGTAAACATGATAAATGATAAACTTAGATTGAAAGATATTGACGCTATTAATATTATTAAACTGTTTGTAAGTTATGTTTTATAAAATAAAATAATACAGTAAGAAATAAATAGAATAAAAATAATAAAAATAATAAAGTGATATTAAATCAATAAATTTGACATACCTTGGAATAAATAATGATGGTATATCACTACCATTCACAATTATAAAAGAAAAATCAAGGATTAAACCCATGATCATCAATGAAATCTTGAATATAATAAAGCTTTGACCCTGTAAATCATAAAAATATTACAAAGTTAATATGCAGTCAAAAAAAATTAAAAATATATATAGAGTTAACATACTTTTGGATATCGTCTTTTGGCCAACAAATAAATAACAAACAGTATAACTATAGCAATTAACAAAATCAACAATTTATATCTAACCTCCAGCCATAAATTTGCTGTTGTTTTAAATTATATTAAATAGATTAAAGATAGTAAATTGCATATATAGATAGATAATTAAAGAAAAATTACATACGTTTTGGTTGAAATCCATAAAGTTCATCAAAAAAAATCATATAGTCTTTATCCGAAAGTGCACTTATGTGTTTGTTCATTATAATGTCATTTAAATCGTTGATAATATCGTTTACGCTTGGCTCTTTCGAAGGATTTATTGTCTTATCAACAGAAAATTCAATTAAAAGTTTGGTGGAATCCAAAGTATCTAATTGGACGTTACGGGTTATTTTTAATCTATCATCATTCAAAGGGATGCTTTGTTTGATTTGTTGTAGCATATTATTAGATAATTGAATCTTATTTGTTTGATCATAGCTTAAAAAATATTTTGTGCCATCAGGATTTAAACGCAACAAAACTTCAGTCGAAGCTATGAAAATAATATTTTATGGTATTTTTAAAAAAGCATCTCAGATCTGATTTATTGATTTATAAATATTGAAATATTGATACGAGAAATGAAAAAAATGCTGTATTAAACTTACAAGAAACAGATAAATTATATGCTTAAATAAAGAAATGAAAAGATTTATATATTAAAATAAAGAATAAATTATGAGATAAAACATAAATTATACTCACTCTGAGGTGTTTTTACATTCCAAATTCCTCGACCAATTCCTTGCAATGGTTCATTAAATGAAAGTGTTTTAACGAAATTATTATAAGCCATGATAGTATAATTATTGTTAACCCGATTAAACGTGCTAAATAAAGTTTTGCAAGTTAAGGTCGAGATATTATATACTTTGCAATAAGAAGATGCGGGGTATGTTTGACGTAATAAAAATTTATCTTGATCGACTACTTGATAAATTGAAATATTTCCGGAAGACAGAACTACTGGAACAGAAAAAGTAATATTAAAGTGATCTGTATATGATAGAGGTATTGTCATGTTTAATGTTAGATATGTGGATAAGATTGCTCTATTTTTATAACCGGCTGAAGGAATAAAATAGAATGTCAATTATAATGAAAACCATAATCATGATAATAATATACAGTACTCACAATCGTTAGAAAATCGTTCTACATCCAACATAATAAATTTACGACCAGTCGTACTATTACCATATGTAAGCCATAAAGTATTATTGCTATAAATACCATAATCTACTATAGTTTCGTTAGAAACTTCAAATAGATTGTAACTACTTGTATAATTAAAATTATAAATATTCACTTGGGAAGATACGGAAGATAACGATTCATCGATTGAAATAAAACCTCCATATGGTAATGGAAAGGCCGATTTATGCATACAACCAATCATAGTCGAAATGACATCACGATTAATTACTGTTCCAGATGATGAAAACGTTATAACTACAGTTACTTTTCCTCTTTTACTCGTTATATTAGCTGCAAAGCGTTCTATGTAATATACTACAAAAGTGCATCCATTACTTTGAATATTAAAAGTATCAAAGCCACTTGCACACGCGCCTAAATAAACAAAGGCTACTGAATTATCTAAAGAATCTTGAAAAAGTAAATGTTCTTCAGAAGTTTGATCTTGACCATTATTTATAAAATGTACATAAATTGAACTTTTTGAATATACACTAGATTTGTCAACACCCATATAGACTATAGCATATTGGCCATCAGATGTAGAAAAAGGTAGATGGCTATCAAAGATAAAATCATCCACCAATGGTCTAATAGACCCATATAATTCTTGTGTAACGATTCCATCATCCCTAAAAAGAAATCAGCAACTTTAGCAATTGATGAAACGCTTGAAACGAGATGGATATTTAATTTCTGAATGCAATATCGAATCTACTATTCATATTACATAATATAGCTTATGCAATATATTTTACTTATAAAAAAGTAGGTTTCGTTGTTAAAAATTAATTGACGAAAGGCCTCGTCATTCTCTAGTGAAAAATATTGTCATTATATCTGCAACTTACGAGTAAGTGTATTTGTCCAATTTAGATAGTTCTTATTACGATATGTGACCAAAAAACTTTGAGGGAATCCATCGTAATTTGTAATAATGTATTCATCCCAACCCGAAGAACTATAATTAAAATGACGAAACATTACCATGTCTCTATAAAAGCATAAGATCATATTATTTATGCGTAATAGAAATAAATACAGAAAGATAGTAAGTATGCTTACTTTGTAGTTATTTTGCCTTGCAAATTTATTATTGTTCCATGTATTGAGAGATCCGTTAATGGTTCTTTTCGATCATAATACGAGAATAAAATATAATTTTCTGCCAAAGGTAAACAAACTTCGAAAACCCATTCGGAATTATTATTAAAATTTATGCTATCCTCATAATTTATAGGAACTATACTTCCATTTGGATAAATTAGATGTAATAAATTTGCATTATTTGTAGTATTCGTAGATAGTAAGAGTTTTTCGTCACTAAATTGTTGAACGCTTGTTGTATTCCCATATTCACTAAAATTATATGCTTCACCATAATTTGATAACGAAATAATTACTATGGTAAAAAGACCAATGATAAAGTCCAAGATTTTATAAATATTCATCATTTTTTTTTTATAGGTATTTCGGTAAAAGTTCTGTATAAATGTGTTTTTTTGCATGTTCAAATTATATAATGGCGTCAAAAACGTAGTAAAAGCTTCATTTTTATTTTTTTTATAGTCATTATTTCTTTTATAGTCGTTATTTTTTTTATAGTCATTATTTCTTTGAATCTTCTATATGTAAAATTATCTATATAAGGGACTC